ATTATACCAGACGATCGTCCAAAACACAGAGGCCAGAAAACGAAAGAAATTGACACAAAACGTAACTGTGGAGAAAGACTCCTGTGAATAAGACTCAGAATCTGACATGGAATTCCACGACTCGTAAGATGCAAGGAAGACATAGCATCCCAGACACTAACCAAAGATCTACCTGACTTAATTAGCTAATGTATTCACGTTTTATGGAGAGAGAACGTTTTCAGATGACTTCAGCTCGAGTCCATTCTTAACACAAACAAAATGAATATTTGATCAAACGGTATCTAACTGAAATTGACAAAAGCGGTTGGGACCTAAGTGTTTGAATTAGTAGATTTAAAATGTATACATAAATTCTTTTGCTTCTAAAAGTTTTTAATTTTTTTTTTTTTTTTTTTTTGTATAAAAATAATTATTTGCCACTTTTATTGTCCATGGCGAATAAATTATTCATCCTATTTCAATATTCTGGGACCTCTTTAAGATATTTCAGATGAGATCAACTGTATCTAATTTTGACCACTGCATAAAGGAAAAATTGGATCCATACACATAAATAAAATGTAGAATGAAAAAATACGTTTCTGGAAACGAGGCACTATTATGTAACGACAATCCATGTATGCACAAAACTTTTCAGCTAAGTTGTGAGGGATATGAGATCTGGATTTTAAGAGCTGCCACAATCAATCATTCGAGATGCAAACAAAAAATAAAGCAAATAGTGAGTGGAACATGAGTGTATTACGTGACCTTTCTCTCTCTCCCTATTGCTTTTATAATGTTAGAATGTGAAAGAAACGAAATAAAGAATATTATGGTTCTAATCCGGTTTTTTATGACACCTCGTATTTTCAGAAAAATCTATTAATATTCTACCACCTATTATAATGATAGAAGGCGTCAAATTATAAATGTTATGAACTACTTTTAGAAATGGCACAAAATAGTAAGGAATAAATATTTTGTCACATGGAGTTAAAAAGTTGCAATTAATGATTCAAATAATTTACTATGTACTTCTATTTGTCCCAGCTACTGCGTCTAAATTAACAGTGTATAGACTAAAAACTAATACTGCTTTGTTTCAGTTAAAGAATACAAAAAAATTGCATCTGTTTAATATCATTTTTCAGATCTATATTATGATCATCTCGACATCCTTACCAACAAATTATAATTTACGTTTTATGATAAATATATTAATTTTCTCACTACTTCTAAACACTAACTAAGTTAGTGATAATGGCTAATGGACGGTTTTCGTTTGAGACTAAATCAGCATCAATTTAAGTGCATAAAAAGTATTAAGAACCGGCAAGGGGTTGTGCAAATTTCAAAAATCTACTACTAGACTAAAATCTAATTAAAGAAAAATAGATGCAAGTTTACGTGAACATTAATGATGGAAGATCATACTAATTATCAAAAATTATAATTTAAAAAAATGCCAAGATAAAATACGTAAAAGTTCAATTTTCTCTAATCTAATTCATTTTATACCTCTTTTTGAAATTTGCACCATCCTATCCTATTAAAGTAACTCATTTGGATGCTACAAATTTGTACTAAACGCATACATAATTATAAATGAATACACACCTTTTCTCTAAAGTAATGAACACACAAACGTAAGAGAAAATAAAGTAAAAAAATTTCAAAAGATACTAACATAAAAATTAGTAAAACAATAATTAGTCTTAATCTTAGGTATGATATGATGTGAATGCATCTACAAATATCTCATTTACAACCTTAAACATATTCCACAGCATGGTGAAATTTTAAATTAATGGCCCAGTTCAACACTACAAATTTAACTTTATATTTTATATAATGACGCAAGGTTTTCTAGGTAGACGAAGCTTGTCCGAAAGTAAAGATACATCACATAATGTTTTAATGCAAGCTTTGATAATTCGACATTACTATATTGTTCGTTCGAGTAGCACGAATTCAGCCCAATGAGAATCAAGAATCGACAAAATATGAGGTAGTGCAAGTCACACCCCTATCGTCTGTGATTTTGTTTTTATTTGATATTTCTCTGTAGTTTTTTTTTTTTTTCGACAACTAAAAAGTAGAGACGTGGGAAACTAATAATTAATTGATGTATGAACACCTCAGGAACGTGCGGAAATTTTAACGATTATGGCGAATCAGCGAAGATTTCGTCAAAAATGCTGTCGGCGCAGTTTCAAATCAGAAAAATATGGAACATTGTTAGTAGACTCGAGGAAGGAGGGGCTGTCGTCGACGTTGCACGTTCTGGAAGGTCTCGCACAAGCCGATCAAAAGATAATATTAACCTAATGAGAGAAGTGTTGTGAAATATCCGAAAATGAGCACAAGAAAGCGATCATAGTAATTAAGCATTTTTCTTTGACCAATTCAACGAATTTTGGTGCCGGACTTGCACCTGTAACTATACCGGGTGTTCAAATTAAAGTGTTACAGTTAAATACCGCCGAAAATATGCATTTTAGAAAAAAAAGTTTCAGACAAAAGTTTTATAGTTTTTTGGGGGAAACATTTTGGCTAAATTAATTTTTTTATAGCTGACCATAATATGGCCATATCGAGGTGAACTTTGTTTTTTTAAATGGGAATCCCATTTTTTTCTTACATATTCTTAAAGTACATAAAAAAAATATGAAACTTTTGAGGGAAATATTTTTTTTATTGGACTTTTACTTTTTGAGTAACAGCTACTTGAAAACGTTGCTGCGCGAAAAAAAAGTTGGCCATATTATGGTTAGCTATAAAAAACGATTTTAGACAAAAGTTTTTCCCTACAAAACTATAAAACTTTCGTCTGAAACGTTTTTTTTATAAAAAGCGGTATATAGCTGTAACGCTTTAATTTAGAACACCCAGTATAAGGTGCAAGCAATGCAACTCCTAGAGAAAACTTGAAAAACCGTCTGAAATGTCACCGCCAAACCAAATTGCAAATTTTTGGAGCAGAATCATGATAAGTGATGAAGCACACTTCTGCCTCGATAGAGCTGTAAATGAGCAAAATCACTGGGGCAGTAAAAGCTGCATTTTTTTTCCAAAGATGTTCTTAGCCACGTTACTTGTAAATGGAGGGCGGTATCGGACGATGCTAAACGAATTTTAAGCACTGCAAATTTAAAAAGTTGATCTAGAAATCATGTGGTTTCAACAAGCCATTCCACTAGACCTATTTTAAACTTAATGTTTATTGGACAGCTTATTTCGAAATACGTCGATTTAGTATGACCGCCCAGGTTTTAACCGCGCTGGACTTTTTTCTAAAGTAAACGTGCACGTGAATCAACCATAGACTTTGTAAGTCCTCAAGGCCAACATAAGGCAAGAAATTGCTAACGTGCAATTCGACACGTTAACAAGAACAATGGAAAATGCGCTAAAGAGAGATAATCATTGCATCGCCATTTTCGGCAAATGAAGGAACATAAATTCGAAGTATTCAATAAATGTTTCCACCGTATTAAATTTCAGTTTTTTAATTAGTGTCACCATTATTAAAATTATAAATAGGGGCATGACTTTTGCGCCACCTTACATAATTAATTACTGTTGGCGAACAATTTTTGGATCTAACAAGTCCGCAATTACAAATTTAAGCAATTTTTTTAAATGTAAGTTAACTTTTTTTTATTTCTGTTAAATAACGTTTTAATCATTTTTTTGTTAAAATTTCATATTTCTAGCACCATAGGCTTTTCAATTAAAAGTACTGCAAGTGCTGTTAACCTGTCCTTCACTCATAGTGTTTCTTAAGTCTTGATCAATATTTTAGTGTCAAAAAACATCTATCAGTTTCAGAGATCGTCGTCGGATTAGTAACAAAAATTTTTAAAAGCTTGAACAACTTTCCCGAAAGCAGTGCCTAAATCGATGGATGTGAGAAAGTTTAATGTTTGCAAGTGCCAGAAAAAATTACATTGAATTTTAGTGGAATTTTCGGTATCTTGTCCTTCTATTCCTTTCCTCAAGTAAAATATAAGTTCTATTAATGATCATTCGCTGGAAATTATGATGATTTCGGCAAAATTGTAAATATGCATAGATTTCGGTGAAATCGTCGAAATCATACGAATATTTGGTGATTTCAGAAATACGTGTGTTTTCATCTTAGTAGTTTACCCCTCATTTAAAATGCTGAAACAGTTTTTGTTATGCCGCGTAACAATAATTTCCCACACTTAAACACACCAATTAACTGCCGTGATCAAGCTACAGAGCGGTCGTGGGCAGACTCAACAGAGTCCCAAGTAAATCTCGCTCGCATCGTTTTACATGCATTTGTAAGTGAGGATGATGGCAGTTTGTTTTCTATTATTTTTTTTTATTTAGCAGGGAATGTGGCGTCTCCGAGCCATTCCTCACCGACCACCACTGAAAAAGTGGTGCTTTCATATCAACGCTCGGACTCATGCACTGATCATCACTAAAGTGATTCTCCAAAGATTAAAGTGGGAAGTTTTTGACCATACATCATACAAGTACCAAGCACTTCCATTTTTGTATCTTTACCTGAAGAAATATCTTGTATGAACGATGAACACGAGTACAAAATTTTTATTGGAAGATGGTAGAATGTTAAAACTCTTTAATTACAGAATGATTTTAGCTGCTCTTCTTATATATAAAGAGAATTGTTTTGTTATGTACATAGATTATACCTGAATAAAAAAAAATATATATTTTTAAATAATACTAGCAATTATACCTATACCTTTCGGACAAGCTTCATATTTAAAATACACTTATACTATCTTATTTCAATGTAGCCAAACATTTTGTAAAATACAAATATCTACAGTTCAATGTTATGGCAATAAAATTAAAATCGCAGCTTGTTTCAGAACGGGCCATTCACGTATTAATCACTCGCTTAATCCTATAAGGGTCCTTATTTTAAAAACTATATAATTTCAATATATCTTCAGATCTTTTTACATAGGCACTATAAAATTTTTACTACACAAATTCGTTTCAAACACTATTTACAACTTTACAAACCAACTTATTGTCACAAACATGGTAAGAAGTAGGACGTACATCGATACATACAACCCTGTAGCTGCATTGTAAATTTGGCAGTAGGGACACTGACTGCTACCGCAAACTTGACATATGTCAAGGACGTAGGACGATAAGGCATCGAAAATCGTTTCGTTGAATCGTTCTGAAAGAAATTAATAAAATGTTGTCTTTATTCACTCTTTAATGAAAAATTATACATATATTTTTGTTTACAAATATTATTATTAAGAGCCAATAACTACTGTGCGTCCACCAAAAAAAGTTTTGTAAAAAGTTTTAAAATAATATTTTAGACCCAATTACTCTGACATTATATTGATAGTGCCATTGTGATACGGCTAGTCAAATATAAAAAATTATATACGTAAAATGATATTGATTGATTTGAAGAAGAAAAAAAACCGAAATTTTCACAGAACCTGTTTTCTTCATTGTTTATGAAACAGTTTTAATAAAATAGTTCCACATGCTCACGAAGGCTTGCATAGTTTTAATTTAAATCAATATAAAATAATCCAAATTAAATATTAGACATCATGAAATAAAAAAAAAATATATAAAAAAATATGCAAGCCTTCGTGGACATGTGGAACCATTTCGATTCCTAAAATTCCCAAAATAAACAATGAAGAAAACAGGTACTGTGTGAAAATTTAATTTTTTAATGAAATCAATATCAGCGAACAAACATTTTCTTACAATCACCACTTTATCAAATGCAAACCAATTTTAATGCTCACTCTTATAACATCGATATTTTCAATTGTAGAGAATGTGACATAAAAAATTTGTTTACCTAGTTTTATCTTGTACAAGTCTTATTTATTTTATTTCAATTTTTATATTTAATGTGTCTATACTCTAAAACAGATATTTTTGGCAGTGACTCATTCTTAGCTTCACGGCGCGCCAAGAGAGGCAAAGATAGAGAGAAGGAAATTCCAGTGGCGGATACAATTTATTTTTAAATAAAATCGTTATTTAGAGATTTATTCACCATGATATTTGTAAAACAATAGATATCCTGTAAACTCTTCGGGTTTTTTCAAAGTAGATGAAAAAGAAATTGAACGATATAAAATTTAATTAATCTAGAAATTAATACCTGCAGAGTAGGACACAGAAAACAGGGTGTGATGCTATAGGTAATCATATGAACTATTCTAAGAATTTCAAATCATTACGTTTAATCCATTTTAAATTTTAGTTTGAGATTTCCGAAATTATAGTACGTGTAAATGTGTTTTGTGGTGAAAAAGGATTTCTCTGTAAAAAATAAAAGTTTAATGCTATTGGTAGGTTCTTGGGAATTTAGCTAGTAGAGACCTTTTTACAATTGTTAAATGTTTATTTTGAAATGTACCTATAGTCATTGGGGTGTCTATATAAATAAAAATTTAACAATTGTAAAAAATTAAATACTAAAAACACTTATGTCAAGAGAATACATATTTAAAAATAATAATAAAAAAACTAATGAATAAATATTACTGAAGATGGCACTAAACAGTGCCGAAAACTTTAAATAATACATGAGTTTTATTAAAATAGCACATAAAGACGTCTCTACTAGCACCCAAAATCCCAAGAACCTACCAATAGCATTAAAAAATGTGCAAGGTGCAAGAATCAAAATAAAAAGTAAGCAGATTTTCTTTTTATAGTACTAAAATAAAAGTTTCCGTATATTTTATAGTATTTTTTTTTTCTTATTCTGAAAAATATAAAAATATTCAGTTACGCTATTTTCTGAACCAAAAGTAATAATAAGAGGTTCAACTGTAACTTCGACGTAAGTATCCAGGTTCCACATTTTTTGTTCTTGTTTTATGACATGTTCGATACACTTCTGCCAGTTATCTGATGTTACGCCATCAATTGCTTCGTTAACAAAATTTTAACGTCTTTTAATTTAAATGTTTTGTTTTTGCTCGCAACTTCACCTTTTATCTAAGCCCATATAATTTCAATTGGATTGAACAGTGGTATGGCGGTAATCGCAATAGCGTAACTCCATGTTTATGCGCCATTTCATCCACAACATATTTAACATACCGGTCCTTATGTACACGGACAATATCAAGCAATTGTATTTTAACCATATGTTTATCAAACACTATGTTTTTTGATTTTAACCAGTCTACTATGTTGGCTTTTCGCCAAGCAGACGTGGGTATTTTTTCTACTCACCAACAGGGACGAGAACCACTTTTCAAAAACTTCAGCGTTCATGTCTTCATAATAGTCGCCAGTCTTCCTAGATTCGAAAACGTTGAGACCACCATCCAAAAATCCTACCTATGTGGGTTATAATCAGTCGACGGCCCTTACCGGAAGGTGACTTCAAACCTCTGGAATACCCATCAAGAAATGCTTGACGGGAACTTTTTATATTTAAGTCCTGCCATACCTTTGAACGGGTGTGTCCCTCATTTAACCACGTTTCGTCAGTATAATATATTTTTTTCCCTTCAAGTCTACGGTCACGTATTTCTTTTAGAAATTTTCTTCGCCACAGTACAATCTCGTCTTATTCGATTAAAAAGTTCTTGCGATTTCGCTTTAAATACCGGAAGTTTAAATCGCGTAATGTGTGCTTTAAAACTCAAAAGGATATTTTAGGTAATTATCAGCATCTACTGCAACCTTGATTTTATTTAGGGTTGGCATTTCGTTAAAAAAAAAAAAAAAAAAAAAAACCATGCACTTTCTGGCGAATTATATTTTTTATGTGATCTCTAGAGTAATTTTCTTTCTGACTATTGTTTCTTTTCTTCGTTTTGTTACCTTTAAGTGATCTGAAAACTGTCCGAGATGACAAATTTGTTAAATTTCCCCACAATTCTGCTGCGTCGAAAACTGTCCGAGAAGACAAATTTGTTAAATTTCCCCACAATTCTGCTGCGTCGAAAACTGTCCGAGAAGACAAATTTGTTAAATTTCCCCACAATTCTGCTGCGTCGAAAACTGTCCGAGAAGACAAATTTGTTAAATTTCCCCACAATTCTGCTGCGTCCGTCCTCCACACACAAATTAGGATTTCGAGCGCGAATATTTTGATACAAAGTTTTTATCAACAATCCATGTCCATCCACAGTTAAATGTCTTTTCACTTTTTTGAAAGGTGGGCCAAGACTTGTCAAAGCTTTTTCCTGTTCCATTTTACCAATTGAGGAGCAACTATCCAAAATGCATTAAATCCATAATATGTTGTTTTGAGTAAAACTTAAAAAACTAGAAAAATGAGTTAGAAGAAAAACTGCAATTTTTATCTACTGCAGAATGATATAAATAATAGTTTTAAGGAGAAATATTTTTAGTTTTAGTTCAAATTTAAGATTTTCCCAATAATATGTGTATTTTTTTAATGGATTTACTTCGTTTTGCTCAACTAGAATATGGATATATGCCATTTTGCCTAGTTAGTGTGGATTTATTTCTTTTTGCTTAATTCTCATTTGGATTTATTACGTTTTGCTTAAAGTGACGAATTTTACATTATTTACAAGGCGAATAAAATCTAAAACTTTAGTGAAAAACTGATTTTATTAACGAAAATTAAAAAATTAAATATGTAAAGCAACATCTTCCTCCACTCAGTCGCAGGTATTTTCGGCCTTGCCTTGTTCTTCCTCTATTTCATCTTCACTAGCTTGTAAAATAGTTTTGTACCATACTAGATCATCTTCTTGCTTCCATCCTTCGCCATACTCTTGGGCTAATAAGAGCTTCAATGATTTTTTTTTCTCCTTAAGTGGTCTTCCAAGTTTAAGAGCTTCCATTTTTAACTTAGAATCTTTTTTACCTTTTTTAAGGAGGGTTTTTGGAGTCTCAGCTGTACTTTTAAACCAAAAGTTTTGAAAGAAGTTTATGGTTATGCGTACAGCCTGATTTTTTCGCAACACAACTTTTTCAAATCCGATATACCATCAGTCTTTTTTAAATAGGTCTGTGTTTAATATCATAAAGCAGCCAGTCTTGCCCAAAATATTTTACTCCTCCATATTCTTTATATATCTCATAATACCCTTTATTTTTTATTATTGTGTGCTTTCTTAAAACTTTCTCCACTCGACCAAATACCCTATCGGCGGTTAAGAAACTTTGCTTAACACGACTGGATTTAATGCGTTTTGCTTCACTGAAAAATGGATCTAATGCGTTTTGCTTAGTTAAGTGATCTTGTTATGGCTATTTCTATTGGATTTAAAGCATTTTGATAGAACTGGATTATCATGATGATAGATTGACTAAAATACACTACATTCTTTCATTTACCTAAAAAATCATAAAAAATAGATTTAACGCATTTTGGATAGTTGCTCCTCAATTATTATTAGACAGGTATCGCCACTCGTCAATTTTCGAATACAGTAACCTTATTTCTTACCGTATTCCGAATAAAGTGCAAACAAAAATGAGTATTATTAAAAACGTCAATTGCAACGCTACGATAACGCAAACAAACGCAGAATGTGTAAGGCTGCGATAATGTGACTGAAGTAAATCAAGATTTAGTTTAAATGGTTAAGCGTTTAAAGGCAGTTCGTTTACAACACTTTATTTACAAACAAACCATTTAATAATGGCTGAGAATGGGCTTTCAATTACCCAACCCCCATTAAAAGGATTATTGGAAATACATAGTTTGTAGCAGATTGGTATTATATTTAGCTACAATAATCAATAAATAACCTTCTGAGAATTATTGGATTTTACAAATTACCCAACCATTAAAAGGATTATCGAAAATACCAAGTTGAATTGCATCAGATCTGACATTATAATATTCAACTACATCATTCAGAATTAATAAAAAAAAGAAAAAGAAATTTTATTTTGAACATTTTTGAGAAATTTTCAATTTTTTGTCAAACAAGCATCACGAGGTTTGGGAATTAATTGTCAAAATTATTATTGTTCTCAAACAAACTTACTATTTAAAAAAATAATTTTTATTTGTATGTTTTAAAAAAAATAACGATAACTCTCTATTATTTGAAATAATTATTAAATATAAAACCAAAACCATAAGCTTTACCCCCAAGCACGACTGTGGAACATGTCTCGACATCGTAAATGCTCTTCTGTAGTTTTAATGGATCGTTCAGTGATGCAACCTCCGCACTGCCGTCAAAAAATATCAGTAAAATATTACGTCGTCAACCGCAAACCTCCATTGAAATAGAGACTGGTTTCAAATACCTCCTAAGATCCGTGACACGGGCCGCAGTACATTTGACAACGGTGCGCGTTCTGTATCAACATGCTGTGTTACCATTTAGAACAAGCGACACTTCGATAGCATTCAGTAATTTTTTCTTGTAGAATAAATATTACATATTATTTTCAGCCGCTCTTGTTGTGTTGTTTTTGAACTAGGGACTGAAGTCCCTGACCATTATTTCCGATTTCGAGTATAGTTCTAGTTTTACTTAGTTGGATTATTGTCCGAATTCTTGTTTGTTTGTAAATTTAATGTTTACGTTTTGATGTAGTCATTTTATATATATTTATATTTTTGATATGTAATCCACCTGTAACAGGTTTGTAACGTTGGTTGGGCAATAAAATAAATAAATTACGCTATTGGCCATTTAATGGACCACCCTGTATTGATTTAAAAACGAGGTCATAACATATGGGTACTAGCGAACCAACCCAACCCATAATATTATGGTCAATTAGCGTCTCTAATCGTTAAGAAATAAGCTTAAAATGGCATTTTCTAATGGAAAATATTAATTTTAAGCTTTGTTATTTTATACATTAGTATTATTTTCTAAGTATACAAGATAGTAATCAAAAAATACCCACTTATATTTGAACCGGTAATATCATTAAAAAAAGAAACCCCCCAAATTGAACATAAGACATTGGTTAATTTTTTTTTTATAAAAGCATTTCAAAAATTACCAAATTGAAGTGGTCATTATTTTCGTACATCTGAGATCGATATTTCTAATGATATACAACAATAAAATGTTTTTTGACATAAAACAAAGTGATAGATTTTGATACCAAATTAAGATTCAAAAATTTGTCATTGTGATTGTTGAAAAAAACATTGAGCAAGGCTAATGAGAAAAGTAAATTAAAATTTAATTATAGAAAAATTACCTGAAAACTTAAATCTAAATCTAGCATAATTATTGTTTATGTAGATACTAATAAATGTACAAAAAGAGCAAAGAGTCGTTCAACAATAATTATATTTTAATCACATACCTGGTGCATAATAATCATAAACTCTTATAGGTAAATATCTTGACATATTAGCTACTGGATGCCATCTTTCCACAGTGAAATTGACGCAAATTTCCTCTTGATCAAGCTAAAAAATACAAACAATGAAAATACCAATCCATTTCATAGACAATGGTTTTGCTTACATAATCAAAATAAAATACAACTTTTCTTTCAAAGAATCTAGCTCTTTGCAAATTTCTAACTCTCGAAGATAGTATGTAAGCATCTAAATCTTGTTGTTGTATAATATAACCGGTGGGGATGGTTACATCGAGAATGGCCATTCCAGATCTTTCAGATTCGACTAGATGATTCCATCTGTAATGATTTAAAAAGACATTATTATTATAAGAAAATAAGTTAATGTAAAGCGACTTCAAAAGGTTTACAAATGGCAATCGATGATAATAAAGTGTTTATTCGGATAATATACTCGTATGTATAATTAAAAGTAGGTACAAAAGAAATATAGGGATTTGTATAGAATATAAATTACAGCAATTAAAATATTTCTATTATAAAATCGAATAAGCAAGTTAATTCCTTGAAACCTAAAAATATGATGTGTCCAACCTATTGTATCACCCCTGTAAATATACGAATTACATATATTTTAGTGATGGGTCGCTTTGAAAAGTCCACAGACAAAAGTCCGACGGACTAGTCCAAACACCCTTTTAAAAAGTGGAAAAGTGTATTGCTCATGTAGAAATTAAATTAACTAATTAGTTTGAATTTCTTACAAAGGCAAAATATAGTTTAAAAAAGAAGAAATAACAAATAATGATTACTGACTTTTATATGTTTTAACGGTGTGTTTTCGAATTTTCGTTAGATATCTTATTAAAATGAAAACGAGAAAAACTGACCAAAAAATCCAAAGGTTGGGAGTATTTTACAAATGATGTCTAAGAAAAAACTAAAATACAAATGGAAATATTGTTCCTAAAGTGTTTTTGAAAAAACATCCAGTATGGAGAAACATTTAATTGTCTTCTATATCCAAGGTCGACTACTTTTTATTGTTTTTTTTTTTTTTCAATACTTTTCACAACTTTTCCGGACATGTCCGTCGGACTAGTCCAAAAATTACTTTTCATGAAAAGTCCCATCATATACATTTTGCACACACATCTTACTCGAAACGTTTTTATATAAACACTGTATTTTATAAAGTTGAATCCATATGGGAATTTTATTTAACATTACGACTGGAAAAAACTTCGTAGGGCAATCGCCTCTGCTTATTTAAAAACTTAAAATAACCTGTATTAAAGTTGGCAACTGACAGTTTTCTGTCAAATTGGCATTTAAAAAAATTGAACAGTTTAAAAAAAAATACTGAATTTGACCGACAACTAATGCAGCACCTAGCCAACTTTAAAATAGGCTATTTTAGGTATTAAAAAAAAAGGCAGAGTTGAATGTCCTACGACGTTTTTTCCAACGGTAATGTTAAAAAATTCCCATATAGATCCAACTTTATGGAAAACCATTGCCACGCCATTGCCATCGAAAATACTGGAAAATAAAACTTTTACACTTTTCCTCAATTTTTTCCATTACAAATCATTTTAGAGAAATCATGTATAAAACAAAAATTATAGAGAATGATATCACAAACAACTTTTATTTGAAGAATGTTCTTCTCAATCATAAATAACAGATATTCCTTAAAGTAAAACTTTACTTATTATACAGAAAGCATTTATTTACAAAACACCTACTATGGTTCATTTTTAAACACGGAGGAGCGAATTTAAGAGAAGCATTTACACAGGGAAAAGTTATTAAAAATATAATTTTTGCGGTAAACTTATGTATCATTTGAAACAAAACATTTTAAAGCTTAGTTATGTATGCATTCAAGTCAAAGTGTTATATACGCAACGAATAAAGATGGCATTACTAAAGAGTGGGGGGTGGAGAACACATTAGAAAACAAGGAGGTAATGTTAGGAGCTTTATCGAGGGAGTATTCGACAATACCTCCATCGACTATATCATCAGAACTCTGAAACATAGAGAAATCGAGGACACATGTGTGACCTGGATAGGCTCTATGCTAAGAGGGAGAATGACATGCAACCATTATGGGAGAGAGACGATAGCAGCTTGGGTTGCGAGAGCCCACATGGAGGAGTACTGTCTCCACTACTATGGAACCTGGTCATGGATGGTCTGCTTAGGACTCTCAAAAATAATGGACATAAAACCCTGCGATATGCCGATTATCTAGTGATAGCGCAGGGTAAATACAACACTAGTTACAGACCATATGCAAGAGGCTCTAAAAATAATAACAAAATGGATAGAAAAGGAGAGACTAAAAATTAGTCCCAACAAATCTACCATAACTTCATTCACGCGCAGGAGAAAGTTAGATAGACTAGAACTGCTAAACCTCCGAGGTGTAGAAGTCCATGTAAAGGGAGAGGTAAAGTATCTCAGGGTTACAAAATTGCCTAGAAACTGGATTCAGTATTTGAAAAGAAGAATAAGAAAAGCGAAAACAACACTAGTGATGGCAACACGCTCCTTTGGAAAAAAATGGAGACTGAAGTATGGTATACTGGACATACAATATGGTGGTAAGATCGATAATAACATACGCAGCTATGGTATGGTGGCCAAAGACATAACAAAGAGCGGCAATGACGAGACTAAGCAAGATTCAAAGACTCGCCTATCTTGAAATAACGGAAGCAATGAGAACAATCCCCACGCCAGCAATGAAAGCATTAATATTCCTGCAACCACTTAACTTTATGATACAAGGAGAAGCAAGAATAGGTGCATACAGTTTAGAGAACACATTGGGAAAAATTAACATCAAACTAGATCACATAAGTATCATAAGGTTAATGATAGGGGACGTGCTAGACATGAGAACAATCACATAAACAAACGTTACTCCAACACTCCAGTCGAGGTTTTAATACCAAACAGAATGGAGATTACTATAAGGGAACCCAGTGCCCAAAGACAGAAACATACCTGGTATACAGATGGTGCTGCAGTATTCTCCAAAACCCCCAACACCAACTTTAGCTATGCAATAGGAAGACACGTTTTAGTATTTCAGGCTGAGGTTTATGCAATCTTGCAAAGTGCAAGAACAAACAATAGGAGAGCTATCTCAAATAAACAGATTCAAGTAATGTAAGACACTCAGGCGTTCCTCGAGGCCATATCAAGTCAGGAAGTGACGTCGAGGCTGGTATGGGATTGCATCGAAGAACTGAGAACACTGGCAGACTGAAAGAGAGTAAAACTAGTTTGGGTGCCAGGTCATCAAAGAATCGAGGGCAATGAAAAGGCTGATGAACTCACAAAAAGAGGTGCAATATTATTTTTAAAGTAACCCAGTTGAAAATTTTTTGTGATTTTTTAATAATAATTTCTCAATAAATTCCACGGTAACCTATATATTTTATTGTAAAAAACAAAACCTAAATATTTCAAAAACCTTATTTTTAGTTTTTTTCTACTCCATCTAATCAATAAATAATAGTAAAATTAATTATAATTCGAAAATTGTTGTTGAAGTCTTACTTTCTCATAAGACACTGTACAAACACACACATTTAAAAAAAAAATTCTCAAAAATTTGCACGTAAGGTATAGTTAAAAGTTCACTATTAGATAAATAAGGACATCTACTATTAGAAAAAAATTAATTTTAGTCATAATCTAATATTTTTTATTTAACATTGGTGGCGAAAGGACCTCCTTAATTGAAAACGCTATAGGCAATGCAACACCTGTTACGTGGGCAGCATGCATCAAACATGTCATTAAGGAAGAAGATAAAATGTGGAATGTCGATTCACGTTTGAAGTTATGGTCAAACCTATTATTATTACACCAAATAATAATGACAGTACTAGTGGTAGTGATAGTGAATTATTATGTTTTGAAACTGACTAGGATTCTTAAGATTACAAGTAGTATAAACAACCAGTTCAATGTAGGCCACTTGTAAATAATATTAAAATATTTAAACATTCATAAGATTTTTATTGTTATCAATGCGAGAGCAGGCTGAAATATGAAAATGCAAAATAGGTACTAACTGCCTAATTAAGAAGTTTTCTCGATTTCTTATGTTATTCTTGTAAAATTATTTTTCAAGTTAAAGACATTGTCCATAAAAAAAAACTCTCCATTTTATAAAATATACCATTTAGTTTTCGATATATCTAATTAAATAATTTTTACATATCAAACCTACACCCCTTTCCGTGCGAACACCGAATGCTCCATCAACTTGGAGATGCATCACTGTCAAGAAAATCGAACATAGAGTATAGCTATATATTCAATGAAAGTATTTTAGGTTTTAATATTTTTAAGCATATTTAGACCTATATTAATGAAATATTCGTGACAATGGTTTGCCATTGGTTAAGATATAATTTGTTTTCCGACTTTTGTAGTTTATGTTGAGATAGTCTTTCCAAAAAAAAATCGGTGTGCTTCATTTCTTTTACTTCCACTTTTGACTTTTTGGCACTGTGAACAGCATCTGAATCTTAAAATTCATAGGTACGTCTTTTTCTGCTACTTCAAGGCAGCTTCTTATTAAGCAAAAGAGCAAGTAGTAACACTTATATAATAATAATTTATTCACTTTAAAAATCGAATTACAATTTTTAACTTATATTTTAAAAAAAATTGTCTTTGTGAATAGTGGTTCCACTAAAGGCGAACCTTGTGGGTGGGATACTTTTATATATTCTACATAGCATTTCTTTTTTTACTTTTTGTTTTATTTATTATACATACAAATTAGCTACAGCATTGAATATTTTATTGTATACATAAATCTGGATAATTGCAGGTAAGTTCTTTTTAGTTAAATGATTTTAGATTTTAGTTATTTAAATCAATAAAATCGTGAAATTTTTGTCGTTGCTTAATTAATATCCATTTTTGCAATTCAGACCTATAAAGACCTCCGCAAGCATCTGTATTAATGCATAATATAACATCTTTAAGTTGGGAATATCCAAAAAACATTTTAAAAATTAAAATTTTGCTAAATGGAACCTAATTTTCTTTATAACACTACAAATATGTGCATTCCACTTTAAATTACAATCTATTATAATTCCCAAGTGTTTAGTTATTTTTGACATTTTTATACACACATTTTCATTGTTGTAATTTATATTAATTGAATTATATTCAGGTAAATTTGAATCAAAACTAGTAAATGGAAGAAATGATGTTTTAATAAAATTAATTGTTAATAATTTGTTACGAAAAAAATCTAATACAATAGGTATGGAGTTAACTATTTTGTTCTTTAAGGTATTCCAATTAGTATCTTGGTAATAAATGGCCGTGTTATCGGCGAAACCTATGATTTCTGCGGGTAAAGGTAATTCAAAAAGGGCGTTAATATATATGTTAAACATAATAAGACCAAGAACAGTTCCTTGGGGAATGCCAAATTGTATTGTTTGTTTAACACTCATAGTCACCAATACTGACATACTATTCCCAATCAGTTAGCTTTAGTAGTTGATAGGCTACTCCTCTGATACCAAATGTATTTAAAGTTTTCAATAAATCTGGATGACTCACTGTGTGTCAAATGCTTTGGCGAGATCTACAAAGATACAAATGTTATCTCAGCAATTGCATCTTCGGTACACCTCCCCTCCACAAACCCATATTGTTTAGAAGATAATTTGTATTTGTTTATTAAATTACACAATCTGAATTTAATTAGTTTTTCTAATATTTTACTCATACTAGATACTCATACTTGATTAACAAGACTGCAGTATATGCACTTTAGTTTAATAGATGGTCGATACTGCATTTTTATCTAGTATTCACAGTAAATTATGTACATGCGGCAAACACAATTAACGAATATTTTCATTGTTTATGGAATATACGGCGTTTTTATATGATTATAACGAGACACCGAAATGCACCTAGTATATAAACAACAAAAACTTTCATTTTAGCCATTTTCGAACATACACCACTTTCATTTAGTAGGGCAGTATTATAAAAAACTTGTCATTAAATTAAATTGTATCTGTAATTGTGTTAAATATTAGATAAAGAAATGTAATTATTAGACATTTTGGTCTATGTGAACTTGTCTGTCAAATAACCAGTCTTTAGGCTTGAAAAATTCAAATCACTCCTCCTAGTTTCCAAATGAAGTATAGAAACATGTAATAAATAGGAGAATCTCTAACACTTACCTTTGGCAACTGACGTATGTAATGTGAGACTGATTTCTTCCATAGAAATATTGCTTAGTCCAAAGATCGAAAGCTGGTACAGGTGGTTTAGTTTGGAACTTCTCAACATCGACATTATACTGTACAGACATTTGCAAGATAGCATAACCTGTTCCTTTTGCCTGCACTTTTACAGTACCCCAAGCATTAGGAATGTCAAGGTACTGAAGATTTGCCCAATTTTTGTCATTAATGTAAACCACTTGAGTTTTTCCTGGGAGCGCAGTTGCTTCTACCGAAACTGATATACTCGATATGTCTCGAATACGTTGTGCTGAAGTATATTCAATCAAGGCCTTCATGGCGTTAGCTGTATCTGAAGTTGAGGCCCATCCACCATCCATCAATCTTTGAGTGTTCAACCATCTTACTATGTTATCTACAAATATTTCTTGTCTTGCAACGTACACCATCAAACCATACGCTGTTGCTTCAATGTTCTCAGAATCATATTCATAAGGCAACCTCGGCAATAAGAAAGGTTTTTGATTTTCTATCTTATAGGGTGGTTGAGGTATTCCCTGTCGACCCCAATACAATAAGCCGCCCTCCAGGCGCTGTCGACGGGATAATTCCAAGAAAGCAGTCTCAGCATTTGAGGCTTTACTCTTCATCAGAGCATATGCAACTATTGCCACTTCAAAAGCGGAACCTTTATCTTTCAGTAACTCCATATTTCTTTCTAACCAGTGAATCGCTTGTTTCGATGCTATGGCTACTTTGGAACTAAGTCCACCTAAAAAAAGATAATTTTCAACTTGTGAAGACACTCTAGTGAATTAAATTATTCTTACTTGTCAAATCTTTAACGGATTCCAACATAATAAGTACATGAGCAGTAAGTGTAATATTTCTATATCTAATAGGGTCATTGTCAATATTGAGAGTCGAATTGTATTTTCTGTCTGGTAGCCAATCTTCCTCCCAAAAAGCACCATCCTCACTTTGATGTTTTAGAACCCACTCTACTGATCTGGATATAACGGCAGGATCGATATATATGTAATTTTCCCACTCATAAAAACTGGCTTCTTGAAATACTCTCGCAACATATGCAGTCAGCCATACTGAAGAGACAGACTGATTCCTAAAACATACATTCTTGGTAGATCGAAAAAATTGTTTTTTTAAGCACAGTGGTAGGTAATTTCGTTTCCATATCAGAAATAATTCAAAAATGTGATTAGTTCAGAGCTTTGCTATAAATGGTAGTATACATAGACTTTTTAAATTACTTGATATTAATTTATTGTATGCAAAATATTTGTAAAATAATAACAATAAAACCTGTTTCATACACAGATACTGTATACAAGATACAGATAATAGTGTGTTCGAATCGAGTTATTCAAACTGCACCGTGCGATGCATATAGTATCACGATAATAGTTTTCGTTTGAATCTCTCGTAGCGCTCTCATGTTATACAAATATATATTGAAAAATTCGTAGCCTACTTATAGAAAGTAAACAAAATTTTAAAGTCAAAATATTTTATTATTCAACATAGTCTCTTAATTTAATACATTTATTACAACGGACCTGCAAAGCTTCTAGATCGAGGAGTTAGTTTCAATGGGAGTGTATTGTACATTCCAATTAGGAGTGCATTGAGAGTACACTGGGAATATAACATACTATTTTAGTTAAAAATTAGTTTTTTTAATCTTTTACTTTTTAATAAAGCCATAAAAAAATAACAATAAAATTTAACTTAGGCAGTATGCATTTTTTTTGCTACAAAAAGGCAAGACATTTTATTTTATGAAACCAAATTCTCACAGGTTGTTGCCCACGAGTCTCACAACAAATTTTTTTAACAGACTGAAAGAAAATCAATTTTCTTTTTATTTACTTTAAAATTCATTATTAGATTAATGGGTGTCATAGGGTCCCGTAGCGTCGATCCAATGCTTACCCGAGTTGCAGCTCCGCAACGATACCCTATGTGTATGGACACCATACATGTACCCCAATTTAACCGAATCCGCAAACACTAATTTTTGCAATCACACATATAGTCACTCTTACGTCGACACAAGTACTTGTGGTTTTACATCTGGCATTTGTACTCGAAAGTCAGAAAAGTTATTTTAATTTTTAATATTAAATTGTTACTAAATAATCAATCGCGAAGTAATCCTAAATCTTCCTAAAGTTCGGAGACTAGTTACTCTTTCTCATGGGAACAACTTCGAACATTCATATTTCCGTATTTCATTTATACCCGAATGAAATACCTACATACGCAGAAATATATCAAACATCACAAAAATCCAAATTAATTCGCGTGTCCAAACTGTCTTATTAATATTTCACACCCACGTACAACTCTTCTAACTTTCTAAAAAGTACTTTATTCTCTAATCAATTTTTCATTATTATTCATCCTAAAAAGACATAGTTTAAATTTCAAATATACAGCCGTTGCAAATTTCAAACGATTCCAAAGAGCTTTAGCCAATTACGTAATTGTTTTACCTATGGGCGGAGCCAGGAATTAAGATACATAAATATAAGCGTTTCCCGCAAAAACGGCAGTAGATCGTTAACTTTTCGCGACGATAGTTCTCTCGCCGCGAATATAGTGCAATTTCGATTTTTGTGCCGGTTTAGTGCAGCAATTTGCCAAAAAGGATTACTTCAAGTTTTAAATAAGCTCCACAACTGTCTGAGTCGATCCACATAAGGGTTTTACTAAGGAAAGAGGAGTACATCGTTTCCCATTTAAAAGTGATAGGGCTGTCTCCATTCAATTTCCCTCCATTTTCCCTCCCGCTTGCCGGCATTTTTAGGCGCGGAACCTGTAACGGATTTTCTTCTTTTCACAGGTCGGACTGACAGATGTCAAGGGTCGCAGCCATTTATTTATAGTGTCATTTGTCAATAATATTGTTGGTTGGTAAGAACCTCCGGCTTTGTTTGTTTTCATTTCGAGCTTTAAACGTTCTCTGGCGAACGACCTTGACCTTGTTTGTTTATTTTACAGCCATTTGGAGACGCCTCGTTTAGTAACGGGGCTCATTTCTTTTTATTTAATTAATTCTTTATATCATATCCTAGTGATCGTCGCGTTACTTGCTAACCGACATTCACCTTCCCCTATCGAAACCGCTTGACTGAGGGAGGCTTTTATTATTTTTTTTTATTTCTTTATTTATTTTTTTTTAAATAAATTCATTAGTTTAGAACCTTTAATGTCACTTAGTTAACTAACTTAATATACTGTAAAGTCATTTCAATTCATTTTAACTTATTACAAAAATGCATCACAATAATCCAGACAATTTCACCGCTGACCTCAGAAGGGCATTTCCTTCAGGGCATGGTACACGGGGAGAGTTATATGGCTTTTCCCCGGTTACTCCCGCCCCAGAGCAAAATGCCACCTTGTGGAGACAGCCGAACTCGGCTATAAATTTAAATGATTTCCATAATTTTCAAAATAACGACACAACCCGACGGTTTGCCAAATCCCCGCCGTCTGGGCCCGAACCTACCCTAAGAGTACCCAATTCGTTTGAATTGGGACTCCAATCACTATATACCCCCATCGAGCGTCGGCCTACACACGGCAAATGTAGGTCAGGGGGAAGTTTCCCTGGTGAAGTGGTTCACAGTGTTGGTGATTTCGAGGAGTTCACTACGCTCTCCGAATTATCCACCAGTACGGCCATATCTCCCTCACGACCCCTTCTTAGCGAAAGAGCGGGGTCAGGGCAAATAAACGACCTTCATCCGAGCGAGACCCGACGACATGGGTTATTAGATTATTTTAATTAATCGAAAATAGTAATTATCTTTGAAAAGTCGTAAATAATCGATTCATAAAAATATCAATTAATCGAAAATAATCGATTAATAGAAAACAAACGCTTATCGATTTTTTTAATAAAAAAAAAATATACGATTATTTTGCCCTCCCCTAGATATAACCAGAGAAAGAAAATGTATTTGTATACCTATGTATTCTATTCTAAACTTTTTAATTTAAACTGAATAGTAATATACCTAAAATCTCGTCATTTTTTATGCAGAAAAAAATATTAATGTATTTTTTATAAAACTATTCAAATGAAAGTCTCAATCGAGCAAAAGTCATAAAGCATTGAACACTTCATAAAGTTTTTACGCTGTTGCTAGGTACACGCTAAAGTGTACACAAATCAAAAAATTATATACACGCGAAACGTCATATTGCTGCGGTGGGAGGTGTTTGTGTGAATGCGTGTTGTTTTCATTTACGCCGTGACTAGCAGCTAGCGGTAGTATTTTATAAACCTTAGAAGCAAATTTCACATACATGAACAAATAATAATGCCGTGACAACAAGAAAAAGAAGCAACGGACTCTCGTAGGGTGGCGGCTTCGCCGCCACCAAAAAATTTAAATCCATACCTGGCTACACCGACCGGCATGGACACAGCTCACCTACTCTGTCAAGACGTTTCGCGTGTATATACATTTTTGAATTGCGTACGAGTTAGCGTGTACCTAGACACTGTGAAGTTTTTAACACTCAAATATTGTTCAAACACTAATAAAAATTAAATTTAATTACAAAAATTACACTATAAAGATAACCTATATAATTGACAAATTGCACTTACAATAATAGCGGACCGATTTGACTTTGCGCTTACACATGTTGTATCCCCAGGTTTCCATATCAATGGTGCATTGGGAGTGCATTGGAAGTGTAATGGGACAGTGGCGGCTCGCTAGATGACGCAGGTGACGCGCTACTTCACCAAAATTTCAGTAGAAATTATTAAAAAAAAAATCAACTAAATAGGTAAATATTTCTGTTTCTGCAACAAAATGCACTGCATTTTTGTCTCTATACAAAATACAAAACCGAAACCTCCAAAACTATACCTAATTTCGGGGTATCTGGACCTCTGCATGAAACAAACGAGGCGCTTGATAAAAAAAATCCGACCGTCCGGGCTCGCTTGTTTTTGGAAATATAATACAATAGAAAGATTTCCTAATCCGAGCGATCGGAGCGCTTGACGCGCTATGCATAAAACCGTCAAACACCCCTTGCTTCTATCGGCGCGTTTATGATGGTTGCCATGGTAACGGCACGTTTCGATCTAGCCGATTAATGCACCTGACGCAAACTTAAAGCAAACTGAATCAACAGTTTGCTTCTACCGGTCGGGACTATTTTCATACAGTGGTTGGACTAATTGGTCAATTGCGACAATTGCGAGTTTTTTCGATTTTTCTAACAATGTTTCCAGTACAAGATCCAGTATGTATGCTATTGGAGATGCCATTCTGTAGATGGTTAAGTGAGGATAAAAAAGACTTTTTAAATTTGTCAAAACCTGAACCTAAATGTAAGTCAAACTAAGTCAAAAAGACAAAATTTCGGAAAGAGTGGTATTCCGAGTGTAAATGGTAGTTTTTATTTAAACAAGCTTTTTTGCGTACTCTTGTCTGATAGTAGGTGTAAAATCAAATGTATGGAATAAAGACGGTTTTAGTGATTTTGGGAACGTAACTCGCGGCCTACATAAACATGAATCATCATGTGAACATATGCGTTGTGCATTAGGATATACAGAAATAAAAAAAAATTAAATACTATTGAAGACGCTTTAAAAGAAAACTCTAGGCAATATGTAAAACAATTTAATGAAAACGTGCATCTTAACAGACATTTTATGCAGTTGCCAATTCGAGCAGTTCTTTTTCTAGGAAAACAAGAATTGGCATTTCGTGGTCATAATGAAGATAAATCTTCCGAAAATCGCGGTAATTTTAAAGAACTTTTAGATTCCTATATCTCTGTAGACATTAAAGAACACCATAAAAAAAAATTCGCTTTTATTTGCCGCAAATTCTAAAATAATTCAAAATGATCGAACAGCTCAAGCATTGTTTACCCTAGTTACAAGTTGTCTAGAATAAGTATTAGAAATTGTAAATGAATGCAAGCGCATAAGACAACTACGGCACCGAGACGATAATTTTAGTCATCGAGGAATTACAGATACATGTGAGGGCAAAATGTGACAAGTATTAGAAATTAAAAATTAAAAAAAAAAAACGACTTCAAAAACGTGCAGATGCCATCACCACATCTTAACCAAATTTATATGGGACTACCCCTGGGGTACCCCCTTACTAACAAAAAAAGAATCATATAAATCGGACAAGGTGGTAAAGCATTATCGCCAAACATACATAAAAAATGAAGAGTTTGAGGATTTTCTCATGGACCCAATTATTAGATTTTGAATAAATTTATATGGGACCACCCCTGAAGTACCCCCTTTCTAACAAAAAAAAGAATCCTTGAAATCGGACACCGTGTTAAAGAATAATCGTTGAACATACATAAAAAAAAAAAAATATCGCGACGAATTGATAACCTCCTCCTTTTTTGAAGTCGGTTAAAAATACGACTACAAATGAAAACTTGTTGGACAGTGTTATGTCAGGGCAATTAAATGGTTTACAATTGAAGATCAAGGAAGTAGCACCAGAAGCGGTGTTCGTTCATTGTCGAGTAATTCGTACCCTAAATTACAAATTATTTGCATGGCAATGTGCGATTTGTGTGCAGAGGCATTGTCCTGCAAAAACAAACACATTTGGACAACTTTTCACGCCTATTCTCCTTAATTTTTTCTCGTAGAGTGGTCATAGTGACGTCGAATAGTAATTCCCAATTATTCTCCTAACCTAATCCATAAAATCATAAAATCATAAAACCATGATTACTTCATGGTAATCCCTGAAGCAAGAACTTTTCCAGCAGATTTTTGAACATGAAATTTCTTAGGCCATGCAGAATCAGAGCGTCTCCATTCCATCGATTGCAGCTTTGTTTCTGGGTCGTAGAAATGTACCCAAGTTTCATAGTAACAACAAGGCTTAAGAAGTCTGCATCCTTTTCAAAAAAACGCAGATCAAACCTGATGCTTCTATCCTTGCACACTTCTGGTCAACAAAAATTTTTCTCAGTGATGGATGCGTTCATATGAAATATTCAGTGACTCAGATATTCGTTTTAGCCTAATTCGATGGTAGGATAAAATTAATCGTGTCATGAACTTCGTCGATATTTTCGGGGACGGGCACAGATACTGGTCTTCCTGATAGCTCTTCATCTTCAATGGAAAATGTACCTCCTCTTTTGAAGCTTGCAATCCAATTTTTCACGGTCACATATGAAGGACATTGATTGCCAAGGGTACCAAGCATATCTTAACCCCTTCAAATATAGATACTTGATGATGGCTCAATACTTTATTTTTTCAAATTTTATTGTGCAAAACTGGTTCGATTTTTTTAACGTGAACCTTTACACTGTCACGCCTAATAAGTTATTTATTACTGCTATGGTAACGCAATTTTTTTTTATCAATGGAGGTCTAGGCTAACTAGATATCAATACATCCGTACTAATGCGCTAGTTCAGTGATGATGTAATTATGGTTCCACTGACAATTAAAGTGACAGTAGATTTTTTGAGTGCGTTTTGTTCGTTTTGTTTCCCTAAATTATATCGTTTTTTCACTTTTATAAATATATTCCTAAAGTAAGTAGATAACATGCGTCAAATATACAATCGTTTAGTTACCAATTACATACTTTTAAACTATTTTTTATGACCTGTAAACAATATTTAGAAATAAACTAAAAACAGTAAAAACGTATATGTCAAATTTATTGATGTTTTTGTTAAAAGTTTGGTTAGAAGTAAATGTCAGTGGAACCAAAATGACATCACACTGAACCAGCGCATTGTTCACTGCAGGTTGTAAACTCTATTTCTTATAAGGTTTTGTGCTTCCAATTTAATATGAAGTTTCGTATATAAAACGAGTTTCTAACCCAGTATCTAAGTTGCACAGATCTGAAGTATTCAAATTTTTCATGTTATTTCTGACTTCGAAACGAAATTGTTAAAAAGGAAAATAACCGTTAGTTCTGAAATATTTTATGGAAACAACACTTACTAATGGCAAACCCATTACAAAAATGTGTTATAAATGATAAAATTTTCTTATACATAGTAAATTAATTACAATAATCACTTACCAATCACTTCTGAATGTACTAAATGAACCATCTGGTTTCATAAAAGAAAGCTGTCTTTGATATCCAATATTCATGTGATGGAAAGCTTCTCGGGAAATGGTCTTATTTCTAATTTGAGTATATCTCATGTAGAGGATGGTGTACATGTTTACAGCAAATGAAAATATGTTTTGCTCTCCACAGTCCTAAAAATCAATTAATAAACGCTTTTTTCATTGTAAATAATATGTATATATTTTAAACACCCGCAGAAAATAATCCCACTGTTGCTGTTCAAAATCATTGTTTATCATAATTTTTACTCACCATTGGTAAACTCAGTAATGAAGTGGCATTTATGGGCATCGTCGGAAAAACGGCTCCAACTACATCACCCACAAGTGATATTCTTGCTTTGTTTGAACCATAAACATAGTAACGATCATATTCATAAGGAATAATAGGAGTTTCTGTTATATTAACATGCATGTATTGGAATGCATATGCCCTGTTACTCAAATCAATAAGCATAGATTGATGTCTGTATTGTGGAAGACCATCAGACTAAAAAAGTAAAAAATAATATATCTCTTGTTAGCGGTTTTTTGTTACATTAAATTGTTTAAGTGAACAGGCGAATAATTTTACAGCAGTACAGTTAAATATTTGACTATTCAACCCGTACATCTGTTGTATTTTCAACTAGTCAGATTACCTTACGTAAAATGGTTCTGTCATGTTGGCCTACATTTCTATGATGATACAGCCATTTGGTAACAATATTAAAATATTACAGTATTTTACAGCTTAATACTAGATATGTGGATAAATTTTGTTAACAATTCAGAAAGAATAAAGGTTAAAAATTATATTAAAATGTTTCATCATGTAGTTGACATCAAAAATGACCAATGCACCAACTAAATCATAATAATATGATGGCTAGTTTGAGTATTACATGGGGCTAAATTTGAGTATTTTGTATTTTTGAATAGGTAATATAAGTTTGGTAATATGTTTATCTTATGTATTTCTGAATTCAAGGCTTTTTATAAATAAAAGCCTGAACAGGCAGCGGCTTCAGCAGTCACATACTGGGGAAAAGTCTTAAGGGGCTTATCCACTCACACCAAAAATGAAAAAGAAAATAATGAACAAAACAGAAGATTTATCCCCGTGATAAATAGTGTGAACGGGGTTAAAAATGGTCTGACAAACTGGTTAAAACCTCTTATTGTCCTTAAATTGGAGCTGGGTTTGCATAATCAAAAATTAATGACTGGATTTTATTAATGAAGAAATGATCAAAATATTTTCTATTTGTAAAAATACAATATTTCTGATAAGGAGGATCTTGTTAAATGAAGTGGTTCTCTCAGTCATTTTCTAATATATTTTCTCCTAATCCAACAGTATACAAATACTTACAACTCCAGTTTTAAATATTGGTATATTTTATAAAAAACGTTTAATATTTAAACACAAGTACTAAGAAAATGAGGGAGGCGGTATTTTTTATATTGACTTGAGTCAATTTTGATTGTCAGGATTAATTTTTTAATTTTTTGACTTGTTTGGCGAGAATATTTTATGAGATCATAAATAATTGCGCTACAGAGCCCAAATTATAAAAAAATGCTTTTTTATAAGAGCAACAGAACAAAATAATGCAAAAACGAGTCTGTAACACAATTTTAATTAAACATACAGTGAAGACATAAATTGTGCCCTCCCCCTCTTAACTTCTAAATGGAAGAACATAGAGACATGAAACAAAAACAAAATGAAATTAGATATTATATTTTTCTTATACGAGATGCACTTTACTTGAGACGTAAGATAGAAGGCGTTACTATCTTTAAATTTTCTAATGGAAACTAAGGTCATGTGATACCTCATTTGAAATATGTTTATTACGTACAATTTCAAGGTAAGTTATAAACAAAGCTAATGTAGTAGAAAAGTTTTTAGAAATAAATAAAAGTGAAAATTATAAATACCTCTACAGTCAGCCTCTTCGTTATCTGGTCTTTTCCAATAAGGGCATTTGCGTAAATTGTCACGTCAATGTCACCCAATCTTTGCGGCACAATTGGTATATATACGACAACAGCGTCTTGGGCCTAACAAATTAAGCAATTATAAGAGCTGAATATTAACTTATTTAAAAAAAAAAAAGAAATTTTCTACCTTTATAAATATAAAGAACTGGTGTTCGCCAAATGATGTGCGTGGATTATAAGCTCGGACTATACCATTTTCTTCTACGTGAACAAATTTGTAATCTTGAGAACCTGTCAATACAACAGTCGACTCCATATCTTCTGTCATATAGTTAAAGACAGTTACACGGATACCAACTTGTTCACCCTGCATGCATTTATTGGGCATCTCTACATTTATGAAGAACGGTAGAACACCAACATACTAAAACAGAAATTCAGATGTTATTAACATAATAGACAATGAATGTCTTTTCATTTTTACCTCAATAGCTTTATGCAACATTCCGAAGCCCATTGAAGGACTCATAGAAAATGCGGATACCATCCAATGAGCTGGTCTAGCTGGAACTGGTATATTAAAAATGTACCTACCATGAGGTCCAATATTTACATCTTTCCAAACCCAGACATTTTCGTATTGACGTTGAATTCTATTAAATCGATATTTTCGGAAAAGGGCCAAATCTGTACTATTTTCGTAGTGACCTTAAAAAGACAGTATTTAAAATTATATTAACCAATTCCAATCCAAGTCTGGATTGACATGGTTCAATATATGTGGAGTATTCACGCAAAACTTTATAGGTCCATGATGAGCTTTTTTTGTGGAAATTGGGTTAAAATGCTGCCTTTTAAGATAGTTTACAAAAATATTAAATAAAACTGTATCAGTCCTATTGAAACTGTACGTTAAAAGTCTGCGATGTCAAACAAAACTAGAGATTCGTCCCAGTATACATATTAATATAGAAAGTATCTCGCAAAATTACTTGAACCGGACTTTACTGCATGTAAAAGAAATGCATTAATTGTTGACTCTAACAAAACAGTACTAGTTCAGTTCCATTATAGATCAAGAATATCTACAGATTTTTTAATACAAATAAATGTTTTTATCCCACTGTTCATGAAAACAAATTCCCTAGGAGTTCTTATAGATGCAGATATGACCTGGAGTTCCAATAGTGACTCCGTTTGCAAAAAATTAAATCGTGCGTAATATGCAATTCTCCAATTAAAAAATAGGTTGGACACCAGACAGCTTCTTCAAGTTTACTATGAGATGTCATATTCACATTTACAACATATTGCTTTGGAGAAATGCGACCGGTACGTTAAGAATCTTTATTTGTTAAAAGACTAATAAAATTAATTTTTAACCTAGAAGTACATGTAGAGATCTTTTCAGAAGATATAATATACTGACTGTTCCAGCAATATATATTCTCAAATGTGCTGTATACGTTAAAACAAACATCTCCAAATTTACCCGTAACTCAAGACAACCATAATTATGGTACTCGTAGTGGCAATTTACTACGCATACCCCTCATGTTTCAACCATGTTCGAAAAAATATTCATACTACTGTGGAATAAGGTTATTCAATCATCTACCTAACTCTCTAAAACAAATTATTAGTCTGAGCTTATTTAAATGCAAATTAAAAAGCTATTTAAGCCAAAAATGTCCCTATAGCATTCATGAATTTCTCCTGTAGTTTTCGTAGTACAAGGTACAGCCTATGTCATATGGGTGTTTTCGAGTATAACAGTCCTAATTTTGATTTTGTGTATTTATTGTCAAATTGTATATTTAAGTTAGTTAGATTTTAAATCTGTTTTGTAAATGTATACTATTTTTTTTTTGGTGTGTCATCGGCTTCAACTGCTAAGGTTAGTTCGCCTCGTGTTCTGTGTAGGCTTTGTTACTGTTTCCTAGCGCCACTTTAGTAACAGCACTGTTAATTAGAACCCAACAGTGAATGGTCGAGTGGGGAATCCTACCCACTGTTAATTAGATCCCAACAGTGAATGGTCGAGTGGAGAGTCCTACAACGATGTATACTATTGTACAACTTTATATGACTTTAAATGATTAATCCTATATCATGTATATAATCTAAAAGGATTAATAAAGTATTATTATTTATTTTCAACGGATTTGCCATTTTTACATGTTTTACAAAATAAAAATGTGAAACTTAGGATTATCCATAAATAAATTTAATATATGTCATATTTTATTTTTTTAAGTGATGTCTTGAATGATGAGGCAGATGTTCCAAATAAATCAATCATGTTCTTATGTTTGTTAGCTGTTCCTGTTATTTTAATGATCGGTTCGTTTTGACCATAATTGGTATTGTGAAATAAAATTAAATGAAAAATGGATCATAATTCCTAGTTCTTCGGTAGTTTGCATTGAAGTTAATTAAATTTAGTATTTCTGAGTCTTGAATATTATTTTATGTAAGAAACACAGGTCTAATTCGACTCTTCTGTGTTCTAATGTTGAAATATTAGGATTTTTGCGTACATCATCCTGTTGTATTCACCTATAACCAATCCCATTTTATGAACACACATTCTTAAAAATGTGTTTTGTACTTTTTCAATTGACTATATCAGTAGTATAATAAGAAAATCAAATTGATTAAGAGTACTCTAAAATTGAGAGAGAACTAGAGAGCAGTAAAGTAATATACCGAGGGTGGATCAAAAAGTACCCATGTTAGAAAGGAAGAGGCAATTTTTTCAAAAAAATATATTTCTATTTCTCAACTTAATCTCTTTTCAGTGCTATATACTTTTCCCAACGTTTCTGTCATTTATTTAATCCCTCCAAAAAATATGATATCTCGAACTCCGCAAAATACGCTTCAGTCTCGACGATAACCTCCTCGTTAGAGCTGAATTTTTTCCCCCGAGCCACGTTTTCATGTTGGGGAATAGAAAAAAGTCGCATGGAGGCAAGTCGTGCGAGTACGGTGGGTGCGGCAGCAATTCGTACTGCAGTTCTTGCAATTTGACCGCGACAATTTTCGATGAATGTGCTGGTGCGTTATCGTGGTGAAACAGAACTTTTTTTCTTAGCCAAATGAGGCAGTGTCTCCTTCAATTTTGCATCGAATCGGTCCAATAATTCACTATAGTACTGCCCTGTGATCGTACTTCCTTTCTGCAAAAAGTCGATGAGGATTATTCCCTTGGAATCCCAAAAAATCGTGGCCATGATCTTTCCGGCCGATGGGACCGTCTCTGCTTTCTTCGGAGCAGATTCGCCCCAAAAAATCCAATGCTTCGACTGTCGTTTGGTCTCTGGCGTATAATAATGTATCCAGGTTTCATCAACGGTGACGACTCGACGCAAAAACTCCTGCGAATTTCGATTAAAGAGCTTCAATCACTGCTTTGACATTGACAGCCGTATCCGCTTGTTGTCCACCGTAAGCAATCGCGGCACCCATCGTGCCGATACCTTTCTCATGTTTAACTTATCATGCAAAATATTAATTGTCGTTCCGAATGATAAGCCTACGGCCTCTGCTACTTCTCGCACTTTCGGCGATCTGCAACAATCATGTCTTGGGCCTTTTTAACGATTTCCTCGGTAACAACGTCTGCCGGGCGACCTGGTCGCTCCTCATCAAAAACAGATGTACGACCACGTTTAAATTCGTTGAACCAATATTTTACGGTTGTCATAGATGGTGAAGGGTCCCCATAGACAGCATCCAACTTTGCTTTTATTTCATCGCATGTTTTTCCATCCAAAAATAAAAAGCGAATTACGGATCGATATTTTTTTTCCATTTTATCGATTAATGCGAAACACGTATGGTACAAGTGGCTGCCAAATAAAAACCAACCTATGAATCAGTTTGAAATTTAGTATGGTGTCGTGTGACAGATGACAGTACACGACAGAAATGCCAACTTCCCTCAGCAACGCCACCTGCCTTCAAACACGGGTACTTATTGATCCACCCTCGTATATGTAGATATATTGAAATCATTGCTATTTTCTTATTATAAAACCAAGAGTTTTCTTTCTTTTGATAAAATTTCATTAATATGGTTTTAAAACGTTAATTTATTGTCAAATATCACTCTTAAATCTTTAACCTCATTAACTTCGTTCAACAAAGTATTATTAACAGTATTTGGAAAATCTATTGGATCCTTGGTTTTAGTGAAAGTTTATTAATTAATTCGATTGATCTCGGTATCGGAATATACACTAAAGAAAAATTCTGCAACAGATTAATTATATTTTGATTAATTTCACTAACTTCATTAACCAAGTACATACTAGCTGGTAAACTGTAAGGTTTTCGCTTATTATTGATGTATTTCCAAAAAGCTATGCGATTAATTTTCAAGTTGATTCACGTAAGTTATGCATAATTAGATTGTTCATACGTTTATGTCTTTCAAAAGCTTCAGTTAAAAGGTCCTCTTCGTGAGATTTCGGTCCGAGATTTGGATCGAATTTCCTTTACTTCTTGCAATTTCTCTATTACCTTGTGAAGTTTAGGGACTACTTAACACTATTTTGCAATCTTAACAAAAAAATACAGCAAAACACGGTTTTTCTTTAATTTCATAACCCTGAAGAGCACAGGCCTGAACAATCTGCATCAGTTTTTTAATTAAAGATTGTAGAAATATTTTTATAAAACTGCTTAAGTTTATTTTTAACACGTCATTAGATAAATTTAAAATCGTATGTGTATGTCCAATTCTCAAGTCAGGAGATCCATCTCTATTTAATAATTATCGTCCTATTTGAGTTTTAAATAATTTTGCTAAGATTTTCGAAATTTGCATTTATAATAAAATGTACCCTCTAACTAAATGTTCAATATTGGTACATCAGCATGGATTTACGGAAAATATTTCCACTGTTTCTAATGTATCATCTTTTGCTTAGTTTTTACATGAGACTTTAGATAATTGTGGTCAAAGTAGATGTAGTTTTAACAGAATTCGAAAAAGCTTTTGATAATATCGACTTAAAGTAATCGTTAACAAGTTAGGTCAATTTGGATTTTCATCAGCAATGAAAACATTTTTTCTCTCATACTTATCTTGTCGACAACATTTGTTTCTTATAATGGATTTTCATCAAATTTATTTTATGCTACCTCAGGAGTTCCTCAAGGGTCCTATACTTTTCTTGTAATTCATCAATGATGTCACTGATTATATCGCTTGTTCCAAAATGTTATTTGCAGATGATTTAAAAGTATTTTTTGAAATTTCTTATATACAATTATATTACTTCAAGAACAATTAAATAATTTATATGATTGGCAATAAATTGTTTCTCAACATACGAAAATGCAAAGCTATAAGTTTTAGCAGAAAAGTTAACATAACAAATTTTAACTATACCATTAATAATGGGCCCGTTCACTTTCATTTTTGAATGTGAATTATTTAATTATTTATAAAGATATTAAACTCTTTTGTCTGGTGGTACTTTTCCCGTTAAAATATTTTTGCTAGAAGTAAGGGAATTCCCATAAAATTCTTTCAGTGACTCATTGCGTCAGAAAACCCCTAATTCCCTTCAGCTCTTGTATCGGTTAATAGTTAAAAGGGCGCGGTTGTCGGATGTATCATTGCACCACCATTCCTCTTCTGCATTTATTAAAGAAATTTACATGATAAAAATATATCATTTTTTAAAAATAATGTG